AGGCCTTTCATTTCCGGGAACAGGCCCGCCGCGTTATAAGGCCGCGCATCCTGCGCCTCCCCCCTTTTCTCATCTTCCTCCTTCTCCTCCTCCACCTCCTCCTGCCGCGACTCTAGGTCCTATTCCTTAACCTCGTCCCCTCCTCTATCACCACCTCTTCCATGAGCGCCTCCTTCCTCAGACGACCGCCGTCGCTGCCGCCAACAAGCTCCTTGTCCTCCTCCTCTCCCTCCCTCGTCTCGCGCAGCATTTTTCTTCTTTTTTTTCTGCTTTTCACCCTCCCTCCTTCCCCCGCGCATCGCCGTCGCCTCCGCCGCCGCGCCGTGTGGACAGACGCGCGTCCCTTGTCCCTGGCCGCCGCCGCCGCTGCGCACGTGACGGGAATTTTCAGCGGCGAGCCTGATGAATTCAGAAATCATCGCACACACTAATTACTTATGCATTTCAACAGCGAGCGGCGAGCCGTCGCCGGAGCCGCCCGCCGAGCTGCTTCCGAGAAGCGTGCGGGCGGAAGTTTGCGCAAAGGCAGCGAGCGGGGCGGCGGCGCGGGAGGGGCGGGGACGGCGGAGAGAGCGAGTAGGGGCGTGAGGGGGCGGCTGGGAGAACGGGGGTGGCGGAGGTAGGGTGCATGGGTTTGAGGGGGCGGGGATCAACGGCCGTTGGCTCCGTGGAAGCTGACGTTTCGGCGGCGGAATCTTCAAGCCGCTGCAGGACGTTGATCGCCTTTGGAAGACGATGTTGTAGAAGAATTTCAATATTCTGTTTTTTTTATGTGCAGCTTCAATGTCTCCCAGATACAAGAAATGCCTGAACTTTCCAGTCATTGATGCACTCGGGGGTGGATCGATGTATATGCAGGCACAGCATTTGCTTTGGGCCCCTGCAGGAAGAAGACCCGAATTGATATTTAATATAATTTTATATTAGTTTATAACATTCAAAAATATTTTAGTTCTTGTTTTTCAATTGCAGAATGTACAGTACATGGTTCTTAGGTCCGATTCATTTTAATTTCATATCGCACCCCTACTGCAAAAGCAACAGAAATAAAAAAAATATAAGGTGTTTAAGATCTGCGACACGCTCTTTCTTCGAACAGCATATGTACTTCACTATCATACAAGAAAAAAAATAGCACGAATTTTAAATTATACAACACTGCCCTATATGAATTAATAGAGTTTTTAACTGATACGTAGTAAATGTACTACATGTTTTATGACTGGTGTAGTGCAATTTTGCAAACCCAATCATAGCAACATCTCCGAAACAAACGTTTCAGATTTGTCGTTTTTGAAGTAAGGGAGCGATAGGTTTGTTCAATTGTATAGATCGTTCCATAGTTTGCTTGTGGCCCTTCAAGGTATTAATCCACCCATGAAATCAATCGTATAACCACTCACGTAAAGAATAAAGGGTAGTAAATGAGGATCATGTTAGATATCATAATAAATAATTATTTTGAAATATTGTAAATCAAAAGTTAATGTTTACTACATGTTTTTAGTTGACATTAGCAGACATCATTCAAATAAAACGAACTTAGATACACAAATGTCTCCGAAATCAATACACTTCCTTGCATGGCTCAGTCTTCGGAAACGAGAAGTGTCATCGTGGACAGCGAGGAGAATACATCTCTTAAAACTCAGTGAGTGAGCTTCTCCTATCCAAATATTTTGCCTTTCCAACTTTCAGTATGCTTTCTACCGGGATTTCAAAATTAGTCCTTCACTTTTCACAAATTTCTGACACTAGATGCACTATATGATTCTGCATTATTTCTATCTTATTGAAAATGAAAAACAATTCGTCAAGGATTTATTAGAAAATTCCTTGATACATTCAATAAGTACTGTCGAGACAATGTATATTGCGTATTTGTTATTTCACATCTGTAGGTATATGAATCCGAAATTGCTGAAACAAAATGTTTGTGTTCATAACGCTATTTTGTTGGCGACTCTAACTTCATCATTTTAAACAGTCTATTGAAACAATATTACAATACAAACTATATTTACGAATAAACACATACGAGATAAAATGGACACGCACTGATGGCAAAGATGGTTAGAACGCATCAACATGACGATGAGAGGATCCGCTGGTTCGAATCCCACCTTGAGCGTGAATGTTCTGCCTTGTATATCGAGTGTGGGGCCTCGCGATCCGGTGGCCCCAGATTCGACGAGCCGGGAAATATATTAGTGTTTTGTGTATGGTTCAATAATGACCGTTAGGTTATAAATGGTATAAAACATTGCCTGAAACAACCACTAAGAAGCAAATTCTTTTGGTGAGTGAAAAAAAACTGATTGTGAGACCATTAAAATGTCTTTGAACAAAATCATAGAAACAATCCCTCATACCAAAACGTTTTTAACACCTTTGTAATAATGAATAATATAATACGTTGCAGTATCTTACACGTAACAAAGAGGTTACGATCATTAGAAAATATCAAGAGGGAATATCGAATGTAATGTGAATATCATGACGTAACAGGAAGCAGTAAACAGGGCGTTAAATGTGTGCGCCAGCCTGTTCAAGCACGCTCGCAAGTTTATGCACGGGATAGTATTTATTACAAAAAAATCAATATAATTCTTGAGTATCATTAGATTATAAGACAACGTTGCCCTTCTCTATATTAAGGATCATTATTATATTATCAGTATATTTTTGTAGTAAGCTATCAATAAAATAAATATATAATTAAACAATACAACCAAACATACAAACAAAGTATAATATACGCTTATTATTAGATTATTACTTTATAGTTTTATCTGTTTCCTTTTCGCAAAAAAATTTGAATACATTTTCGAATTCTCTAATTCACTTCGGAAAAAATGTATATGTATGACTATTCTAGAATAATAATTATCAACTGAATTTGGAGAAAGAAATATTCTGTATACACCCAAATATTTGTTTACGTTTATACATGATATGCCTTAAACTGGAATCAAGAAGACTAGGGACATTTAAGTGTCGCGTCTAAACAATTGATAATCATAAACATATTTTATTTTATTATCGAGGAACGTGAAACACCATGAATATTTTATAAACTTTTATATTTATTATTTCACCTGAAGCCCTTAACATAGCTAATTGTATTAAGTTTTCTCCAACCTTATTAACACTACACATACTGTTGATATACACATTACTCTGAGAACACAATTATAGATGAGTCGTGAATACTAAAACATCTACAATCAACCGCGACATACACACACACATACGCATTACACACACGTACGTACACACAAAATACAGTCATTGTTAAGGAAGTCCTAAGAAAGATTCTTAACGAGGCTACGCACACTCGTGTACTTATAAACATGAAGAAATATGAATAAACAGAAGTATGGCAACACAAACGTTCCAGAAGAAGGACTCTACAAAGAATTTCCAATAAATATCCAACTTTGCAACTTGCACAAAAGAGCTGATACAATCATCATTATCATCCAAGATGATTATACAATTAATTATTGTACAATTGCAATAAACAATATTATATCGTCAATACAATAATAAATAATTGAAATGCAATGGTCATTTAAACACGAGGCCCAAGAGCGGAAAAGTATACAACGTAAAAATATCAGAAGGCCATTGCGTGGCATGATTCACATCCATTATATGCTTTGATGCTTTTTCACTTGTTCATGATACTTTCGCCTTTTTGATGTATGACAGTGACGCAAAGGAGCGGGAAGTGTGGTTTGTGAAATGTGAAGTGCCAGAATGCACAGTGCATCTTTGGCTGTCCGGGAGTCGTCGCATTCATTGACAACGTTTTGGTCGTCATGTTGTGACCTTCAAGCCATATGCAAATTTTGCTTTTCAAGACGCATTTTTTCCTGCAAAAGATGGCAGAATGACAATCCAAACGTCGTCAGTCATGCTAACCTTCTTCCACATGCAGAGCTAAGTTTGCCTTGATGAAGGTCGCATTGTGACGACCGAAACGTTGGCAATCATGATTGAAGCCTATGTCCCGGACAGAATAGAACCTATTGACTCCCACCATGGAAATCTACGTCTCTGGAAACGGCAGAATTTATATGCATTGATTGCGCGCAGTTCTAATATTTAATTTCTTTCGCAATGTGGGCACACGATATTTTCAATAATCAGTATTTTGGTTAGCTACAGTAGCACCTATACTCTTTGCTGCCAACGGGTTGTCCAGAATTCTTCTCGGACGAACGCGCATTCTCATCAAGAATGTCCACGCCGGCGTGTGGGAAAAGCGCCGCTCAGCGTGAGGCGAAAGGGGCGTGATGTGCTGTAGGCTGCACGGCCGCCCGCTGTTTGCCGAATGCGCCCCGAATCGGTGCAGTGGCCGCGAACGCGCCAGGCAACTTGGAGCCGGCCGCGAGGCGATTGGCGAGGGCGTTTGCGGTGCAGCCTACGCACGGGCGGGCGG